GAAGTATGGGATCCGGAACGCCGGTTATTACGCGCTCCGCAGCCTGCGGATCGAGAAGTTTTTTGCCTTCTGGGGCCAGGATCTGGATGCCTTTACCACTCCTATGGAGTGTGGCCGTGAGTTCCAGGTCAAGCTGGAAAAGGTATGGTGGAAAACTGGAATTGTGGCAGGGCCCAGCAGTGCAGTGATGCCACCCAAGTGGGTAGATGGGTCATTTTTTTGATGGAGCCGTAAGGGCGTGACTATAACCTGTGTTCTTAGGCTTTGAAAGGTGCTAAAAAGATTTAAAAAAATATGCCATCTTCCTCTTTCCTGGGCAGCATTCCCGGTGATCTGGGTAGTATCCTGCGTAGCTCAGTGTAGTGGAGGGAGCTGCATACCTTACAGCACTCGTGTTTCTCCCAGCTCCTTTCCCAGTCTGACGAAGCAGAAGCCAGCCCGTGCCCCACGTGGCTTGTCATGAAGCTGAAAGCATACCAGGATAGACACCAGGGACAGGAGCTCTCTATTTTTACTGAAACATAAACCAGTGTGGAACTGTACCCCACTGTGCAGGCAGGTGCCATCTCTATCACTTGCTTGTTTTCATCTTTCTCACATCTTTGCATGAGCCAAAACAAATGCTTGTATCAACCCAGAGAGCACACACTGATCATGGGTGCAAATTTTGGATGGTTTCCTTCTGGTTTGTAAAATCACAGAACCATAGAATGGCCTGGGTTGCAAAGGACCACAGTGATCACCCAGTTCCAACCCCCTGCTGTGTGCAGGTCGCCAACCAGCAGCCCAGGCTGCCCAGAGCCACATCCAGCCTGGCCTTGAATGCCTGCAGGGATGGGGCATCCACAGCCTCCTTGGGCAACCTGTTCCAGTGCCTCACCACCCTCTGGGTGAAAAACTTCCTCCTAACATCCAACCTAAATCTCCCATCTCAGTTTAGAACACAGTAAGCTTCTGGGAGCAGAAAAATGATGGAAACTGGAGTTGTGAAATAACACAGCCTTTTGCTGCGGTGAAAGCTACAGTGAATGTTTTAAGGGCCCATTTCACGAATGTTTTTGCATTTAATACCTTTAGCACCTGGAATGGTGAATGTGCCAGCTTCTGTCTGAGCTGGGTGCAGAAGTTCTGGTGGAGCAAACCTTCCAAGCCCAAGCTGACCTCACATTTGGTAGTTTGTTAAAACTCAGCAGTGCCACAGTTCCCATTCCTTCCATCAGCCGAGGCTTTCTTTTTTCCCCCAGGGGATGGAGTTTGTTGGCCAGGAAGCTCTGTTGGAGCAGAAGCAGAACGGGGTGTACAAACGCTTCACCATGTTCATTCTCGAGGACCATGACACAGATATGGACCTCTGGCCCTGGTGGGGTGAACCCATCTTCCGCAACGGCCGCTACGTGGGCAAAACCACCAGCAGTGCCTACAGCTACACTCTGGAGCGCCACGTCTGCCTGGGCTTCGTGCAGCACTTCGATGAGAAGACAGGGGAAGAGTTGGTGGTGACAACTGACTTCATCAACCAGGGCGAGTACGAGATCGACATCGCCGGGCAGCGCTTCCAGGCCAAAGCCAAACTCTACCCCTTCAGCTCCCTCTTTGCTCAGCGTCGCCGCAAGGATGAGGTGGAACTGAGTGGCTACCAGAGGGAGTAGTGCTGGCTGGAGCCCCACTCCTTTACCCAAGCTGGAGTCTTCAGCTGCCATCTTCCAGTGCTCTCTCCACACCCCATACGTTTCTTTCTTTTTCCTTTCCCGTCTTGCAACTTTTAAACTTTTTTCCAGCGTGTTCCATTTTGTATGTTTTAAAACTTTAATTCTCCAGCTTTCCGAATCCTGTCTCCCTCCCCCCCTCAGCCCTTTGCTTGCCAGGCTCCCCCGTGTCTCAAAGCACAGTGCTGAATGTGCACCCAGAAGCCCATGGGAGCGTTTTAGTGGGAAGCCTGTATAGGAACAAACATCTCCATAGCCCTGCAGTGATGGGAAGGGCTCGGGGGAGCTCCTGAGTACTACAGCCTTTCTCTCTCCTGCACTATAAGGCACGGGACAGCAGGTATTGGCTCTGCTCTGCTGTCACTTTGGCAGGTGACCACTTTGCAGAGGGGTCTGTTGTATCGATGCACACAGCAATAGAGCGACCAGCTACCTCACCAGCACAGCACAGAGCATTGGGTGAGCAGCTGCCAGCAGGCAGGTGTTGGTGTGTCCCAGCCTGCCCAGCACTGGTCCACCATTTTGCCTAGCAGGAAGCCCAGTAGGTTTAACCATCACATCACGGAGATGATGCTGGTAAGTCTTGCATTGTCATTTGGGTTGGATTTTTTTTTTTGTGGGGGGTCTGCGAAGTCAAAAGGCCCACAGTAGTGTCGGTCTTCAGTTGTATTTATAGGAATTGTATATGGGTAGATAATACATATTATCTGTCTTTACATATATAATTGGAGACCAACACGTGTTTTAGTTCTGTAAAGGAGTGGGGTTGTTTTCTATTAGCAGAAATGCTGATGTCTAACAAGGGCAGATGTTTGTGTTTCATGCTACCAGCACTGTTGAAACACCACTTCTGTTTCAGTCACACAGTGTACAGTCCCTTTGTGAACATTCTTTCTCTTTCCCTCATTTACCTGACTGTCTGGCAAGGTTCATGCAGTGAACACAAGTTTCTTACAAACTCGTGTTTGGGGAACATAAGGAAAACCAGGCGGTGCCAAGTTGTGTCACACAGGTTGACATCTTCCTCTTCTCGTTTTGAGAGCAACCAGAAGCAAAGCTTTTCTTTATTTCCTGGAAGGAGGTGGTTGGCTGTTCCTCCTGCCCTTGGCACCCACCTATTCACTATGGCTTTCCTGCTCCCCTCGATGCCAACATCCCCCTGGAGTTTAAACTCAGCCTTGCACTGATGCAGCCACGATGAACACTTTGTAATTTGGAACCTTTTGGGGGCATTTTCCAGTGAAGTGGTGAACATCACAAGTGTAAATATGAGCTCTAAGCCTTGGCAAGCTCCTGCTTTGTTTCCTGCTACTTCAGTTGTGCCTTCAGTTGAGCCTTTGGTCGGCCAGTTTGTGATTGAAATGTTCTCAGTGCACAGGAGTTGGATGGACCTGAGGCAACGAGGGTGGAAGGGAAAACCCTTTATGCCTTAAGAAACGGAAGCCAGAGCAAGTTCCTCATTCAGGGAGGTATGGAAGCTGCAGAACTTAGAAGTGGAACTTTGTGTTGACTCTTCAGTACCAGAAATAGAGTGAGAACAGCCCGACGTCACGCTGGTGGATGGAGGAGCGCTGTGCCAGGGTTGAGGCTCAGGGCTGAGTGGTTTGGCACCTGCTCCTGCCTTCCCTTCTGCAAGTTCTGATTCTTCTTTTGGATCTGGAGCTGTATTCTGTCCCTTGCTGTGGCTGTGCCTGACCTCCCATGCCTTGCTATTCTCTGAGAGGCTGCTGAAGCAACCCGTACTGGAGAAAGGACTTCATTGTTGATGTTTAATGACCTGGGGATGAGAGGAAGCTGGCTGTTTAGAAGTGTTTCCTATTTCAGGAGGGTGTGTTGCGGTGATTTTTACATCTGTCTTTGCCAGACTTCATTTCTTCCTCGTGTCTCTGTCTGGATTTGCTGTTCCTTGCTGCTGCAGTTCATCTTACTGTTCTGTGGTGAGGAGGGGGGGCCGTGCAATACCTGCCCTGCATCTCAGGATCGTGTTGTAAGCCTGGATTCCTCCTTCTGTTGCTGTGCCCAATCCCATCCCCTGGCACAGGGCTTCCTTGGACCTCTGCTTCCATGGGACCTCAGGCAGTGGCTGATGGGGGGGGTGGGGGGGGTGGGGAGGGAGAAATGCAGAGACTAAAACTCTTGCATTTGAGGGGGGGAAGAAAAATCTATGACAAACAAGTGCTCTCCACTTTTGCAAAGGAAATCCATTGCTTACAGGGGCAGGATTCTTGTTTTAGAGCAGAACACGTGGCTGCTGGTAAAGCCCAGCAAAAACATCATCACCTTTGGATTTGTCTTCCCAACTGGTTTCCTTGGGACATTTGGGCAGCTCCATTCTTGCCCGTGTCAGCATGTTGAAGGCTTTAAACTTCCTTAAGTGACTGCCAGGGCTGGGACTGGCTTATTTTTACCTCCCCGTTCCAGCAGGAAACAGAATGCGGGGGAGCAGGGAGTAGTGCCACCAGACATGCAGGAAGAGCAGGCAGCATTTCTCTTTGCACTTTAACCACGATGGCTGTAGCCGCTCAGAGCCCTCAGCAGGAGCAGCCCTGTGTGTTTTGGGGCAGGAAAAGAGCCTGGAAGCATTGGCTCAGCTGCTCGTGGGCAAGGTGACTGCGCTCTGCAGGCAGTCAGTACGTGCTCCCACTGCGTGTACCTTCAGGCTGCTTGCCCAAAGCCCCTCTCACTTCTTGCAGTCTCCCAAGCTATTTTCAAGAGCTGCAAGGACTTCCATAAGGGTTCTATGGCAGAAATGTTGGGAACGAGTGCAGCTTGAGGCTGCCCAAGCGTTCCTTAGTGCCTTACATGGTGGAAGGGGTGGAGGTGGGCAGAGCATCTCACTGTGTCTGCATGGGAGGACGCAGGCAGCTCCTTCAAGCTCAGAGGGGCTGAAGAGATGCAGCACTGCTCCTGCCCGGCCATGGAGGACACAGATTGTTCCCAAGCACACAAAGAGGGCTGAGCTGGCTGCTCTCTGCTGGGGCTGTTCTGTATGCTGTATTTACGTCGCGCTTTACGTCATTTCATATTTTGGTTGGCTTGAATGTTGCTAGGTTTGTATATTAATAAAGAAGTGTTTTAACTACTCCCGAATTGGGCGGTTTGTTGTGCCAAGGCCTTGTGTATCCCTTGGGATCCAAACCCTATGGTTACCCCTGCCATGCCAGGCTCAGCTTCCCATGAGGATGCTCCCACAAAGTGCCACGGTCCTGGTGGAGATAGGAACTGCTGGTGCATCCCTACCACTGCCCGTGCCCCATGGCTGTCTGTGATCAGGAATGGAAGAACACAGAGCTGTCCAGATGCATGGTTTTTATTGACTTTAAAAAAAAAAACAAACAAAAAACCCAACCAAATTGTTTTAAGACAGTTGTGTGCAGAAATACCCATATCCGCAGAGGCTGTGGGGCCGCCTCACCCCACGACGGGGATTACCCAAAACCTCGGTTTCTTCCCCAAATCCAACACCCCCCCCCCTCCCCTCCCCAGTGCCCACAGCCTCTGCCTACACCTCCTCTATGTACAGTACAGTGGTGCTCGTCGGCGCAGTGCCCGCGGGCCGTGCAGCATGCTCTGCGCAGAAACAGGAGTGGTCGTGAGTCCTCGTGTTGGGACAGTTTAAATAATAATAATAACAACAACAATAATAATAAAAAGAGTCGGGGTGGGGTTGAGGGGGGAAGGAAATCAGCCGAAAAATCGTTATCGGGTGCTGCCGGTGGGCTCGGGATTGTCTGACCCGGAGTGGGAGAGGTGTGGGCACAGCCCAGTGCCAGGGGTGCCCGGGCAATGCTGACCCTCCCAGGAGGAAGGGGGGGCTGGGAATGCTGCTGTGTGCATCCTCACCCCCTGTGCTTGCAGGGCAGCGCAGCCGGCGGCAGATAGTCAAGGCACTCGTTGTTGCTTGTGGTTGTGTGATTTTTGTGGTTTTCTTCCCCCAGAAGAAGAAGGCAACGCCAACCCGAGGCGCTGGGAAGGTGTGGGCTGGGGCTCGCGGTCGCACCGCCGCCTCGGGGGCTGCCGTGGGGCCCCCAGCAGCAGGCACAGCACAGACCTGGTATCTCACGACCGCAGAGAGAAACCTCAAAAAAGAAAACACTCCCAAAGCAGAGAAACGTAGAGAGAAGCCAAATAGAAAAGGGAAGTTTGCCCCCAAGCTCTGCGCGATCGTCCCTCGGTCACCGCTGCACCTTCCAGGACCTCACCCCCACTCCGAGCCACTGTCCCCCAACACCACGAGCTTTGGGATTGCAGCTCCTGGCCAGAGCTGTCTGTCTGTAGCAAAAGGGAAATAAGAAATGACCCCCCCGGCTGTGATTCACTCACCTGCTAAAGCTATCCTAACCTGCTCCTGTCCCCAAGGCGAAGGGGAGCCCACGTGGTGAGGGATGGGCGCACGCATCTGCGCCTTACCGCGCTGTCACCTCCACCAGGCGCTCGGCTTTCTCAGCTGCCTTTTGGCCCCCTCCCAAACCCCTCCCCAAAACAACATGGGGAGCATCTGACCGAGAGGACCATGAGAGTCCGGACCCCTTCCCGAGAGCCACAGAGGGATGGGAGAAGCAACAGTGGAGAAAACCTCCGACGGAAGGACAGAGCAGCGGCCACTTTGTGTCCTGCTGTTGGGGAGCTGGCCCGGCCTGCTGCCGATTGTCACCCTGCCCTCATCCCGGGTTCGAGCTCTTCCCAAAGTCGCCGGGTTTGGGGGCTTTTGTATGTTTTTTTGTTTGTTTGTTCTTGTTTTAAAAAGAGCAGCATTTGGTTTGACTGTAAGAGTTACAAGTCGGGCGCTCCCCCGGCCGGCTGGTCGCTGGCGGCGTCTACAAATCCTCGCTCGGCTGAAGCGGGTTCCTTAATACTAACAACATCGAGTCAAAACTCCCCAAACCACACAAAGTCTGCCAAGAGCTCAGAGCCCCATCGGCTGCCGGCACCCAACAGCAGCCGGGGCAGCTCTGGCAGTGCCGGGGTTAGGAGCTGGAGGACACGCGGCCGCCCGGCCCTCAGTTAATTGCCCCGGTAGACCTCAATCCTGCTGGTTTTGGCCAGCATGTCGATGATGTGTGCCTCGAAGTCGGCGTCGTGCACCCCGGTCTTACGGAACTCGCCAGCGTAGCGGTTGTTCTCCCAGTAGTGATGCCAATTGCCCCGGCTGTCGGCGCCGAACCCGAAGACGTTCACCTGTAGGGTGAGGGTTGGCATCACAATCACCGCCAGCCTCTGTGTGATACGGGGCCGGGGCTGCATCCCCGCGCCGTCACCCACCTCGTCGCAGACGTGCAGGGCAAAGAAGAGCACCAGCATGCCGGTGGAGGGGTAGCGCCCGTGGTGCTCCGTCCAGCGGTCGTGGATGTACTTGAAGAAGGCAGGGTTGTAGATCTGCACCTGGAGCCGGGGGGTGGGGTGGAGGGAGGGATGCTGAGCGCTGCGTCTCCCTGGGGCTGCAGCCCGGCAGCACCGGGAGAGGTGTGGGGTTAAGTGGGTGCTGAGGAGCACAGCGCTGCTCTCACCTTCTCCTTGTCCACACGCAGAAAAGGCTTCACGGGCGCATAGGTGCTGGAGGGAGGAAGCAGAGGGGTGGGTGGGCGCTGATGGCCGGGGCTATGTTAACCCAGGGATAGTGGAGGTGGGGAGAAAGCCACCAAGCTACGGTTGTGACTTCACCAGTCCCAAAACAGCCCCCAGGGCGATGGCACCTCTATGCATGGCCATTGGCTACTTACAACCTGATCTGGCCAGTGGAGAGGGCGCTGGCGATCCAGAGCAGGTCCAAGGTCTTGAAGGGCACCAGCACAAAGCTGACGTTGGCAGGCAGGTTCTTGGCGCTCTCGGGGTACATGAAGTGGTGCGTGGTCCGGCTGCCCACGTCCCCCTCAAAGCCCACTGTGGGAGCCTGGTTCATCCTGGGGACAGAGAACCATAGAATGGCCTGAGTTGAAAAGAAGCACAGTGCTCATCCAGTTCCAACCCCCTGCTGTGTGCAGGGTCACCAACCAGCAGACCAGGCTGCCCAGAGCCACATCCAGCCTGGCCTTGGATGCCTGCAGGGATGGGGCATCCACAGCCTCCTTGGGCAACCTGTTCCAGTGCCTCACCACCCTCTGGCGGAGCTGGGCACTGGCACACAGAGGGGACACACAGCCCCCCCGCCCAGATGCCGATGCACTGCTTGTGGAAGGATTCCCTGCCCTCACCTCATGATGAAGTCGTGCCCATCGATCTCGTGCCCATAGCCGGAGCCGCGCAGGTTGCCCGAGTTGCCGACCACAGCGCAGCGCCGGCAGCGGTGTGGGTCCCGCCAGCGGTAAGGGTTCTCCCCTGGCACGATCTGGAAGAGCTTGCTCAGCACCTCCTGCGTGTTGTGGGACTTGAACTGGGGCTGCAGCATCTGCAGGGTGAGAAGGAGGGCGCTGGGGGTCCTTGCTGTGTGCACGGCAGCGGCGGCCGCCCCAGAACAGCCTGCAGCGTGGGGTGCCAGGGGCAACCTGGGCTCAGTGTGGCCGCGGCGTGATGACGGAGATCCCGCGGCATCACCCATCGCTCACCATCCACCACCGCTGCACGTCCGGCGGCAGCTCCATGTTCTCCTTGGTCCACACCGGGGACACAGCGCCGTCGTAGCGGCTGTCAAACCAGGCGGCGGCGGCGGCGGCGGCATCCTTGGGGCAGCGGCGGCACGCGCAGCCCTTGGGGTACGGCACGCCGTGGCTCAGCCGCCGCACGCCGGCGTAACCGGGCACCAGCTTCACCCGGTGGATGCCGCCCAACCCGCCTGGGTCCAGGTAGGCGATGCTGTGGTGGGAGTAGGTGAATAGCACCGACATGATGAAGATGAGGAGGAAGGCGGTGGAGAGGAAGCAGACGCGCAGCGAGCACTTCATGGTGGGCGGGCAGGCAGGCTCGGCGCCGCTCCCCGGGCATAGGGCTGGGGCGCGGGGTGGGCGCGGGGCTCCCTGTGGGGCGCAGAGCCTCCGGTCAGCGCGGTTGGGCGCGCAGCCCCCCGTGATGCTGTGCTGCCCGGGAGGTTTGGCACCGCCACGGGGTGGGTTGGAGCGTCCCTACCTGCCGGGCTGCAGCTTTCCATCCGCCTGGCTCGGGGGGCTCAGCCGTAGCTCCGCGTGCCGGTGGCCCCATGGGCTCGGGGAGCCGTCCCCTGCTGGTTCCGGGCTGCGGTGACACCCATCATCCTGTGCTGGGGACACGTCAGTGACTTTCCTGGAGCGGAAAGGAGGGGACGTAGGTTAAGGGACAGCAAAAGCGAAGAGCCACCGGGATTCTGTGCCAAAAACCCCGTCGCCCCCTGGGCTGCTCCCCACAAAACCTTCAAGGGCAACAAGCGCCCCGCAGCTCGGCACCTCTGGAAAACTGTGAGGGTGCTGGTGGTATCCTGCTCCAATTAGTCACCCACCATCACGTATCCATCTGCGTGGCAAGAGGAAGGAAACCAGAACACGGGGCACATCCTGCCTGCGCCGCTTGGCCAGCCTGCTGCCAGCAGTTCCCCAGTTGGAGCTGCGGGGGGGTCAGCACGCCTACATGGTGAGGGCACGTGTCCTCACAAAGGTGTTTGCAATGGTTTAGGGTCAGAAGAGACCAGCCAGCTCAGCCAGCCCCAAGCCCTACACAGAGGGGACACCCACAGACACACAGCCCCATCCAGCCTGGATCCTCAGCACCTCCAGGTGCTCATCAGCTCCCTCAGGAGAGGGATAACAGCTCCTATCGGGTCAGGCTCCACCAAGCCACCAGGTTGGTGCCATGGGTTTGGGTCCCACGAATTCGCCGGGTCAGGTCTCACCAGGTTGGGTCCCAGTGACCCACCAGGTCAGGTCCTACAAACTCAGGTCCCACCACACCACCAACTTGGATACCATAGGGTTGGGTCCCACCAAGTAACGTGATCAGGTCCCACTAAGTGAAGTCCCACCAAGTCGCTGGGTTGGGTCCCATTGGGTTGGATTCTATCAATCAGTTTGGGCCTCCCAAGGTCAGGTGCCGTGGGGTTGAGTCCCACCAAGTAATTAGATCAGGTCCCACCAGGTTGGGTCCCAGTGAACCACCAGCTTTGGTCCTACCAGGTCGGGTCTTATAAGGTCAAGTTCCACCAAGCCACCAAATTGGGTACCACGGGGTTGGGTTCTACCAAGTCACCAGGTCAGGTCCTACTGAGCCATCAGCTCAGGTCCCACCAGGTTGAGTCCTACTAGTTTTGGTCTCACCAAGCCACCAGCCTGGGTACCAGCAGGCTGGAGCCCACCAAACCACATCCTGCAGCCAAGCCTGAAAAAATCAGCAACCGCTCAGAGCTGGGGCTCAGCACCTCCAACTCCTCCTCCCCTCCATCTCCTCCTGGCCGCCTTTCCATCTCACCCTCTCAGGCTGCCAACCCCGTGCCCAGCTCCTCAGTGGCAAGCCTGCTCCTGTTCCATCCACAGCGGATGCCTCACTGGGAAAATATGTGCAGGAGCACCAAGATGGGCACGCCAGCAGCCAGCCTGGGGGAGCACCGTGGGGGTGGAGGCGCACACGGGGAGCAAAGCTGGCATCGCTGGGGAGGAGAGGGCTTTCTCCACGGAGAAAAAACGGGTCTGGGCCCTTTTTTCCATGGGGTTTCCGGCCGCCCCGTCGGCCTCGCTGCCCGGCGCTGAGGCTGGGAGCTTCCTCCAGACAGGCAGGAATTCGAGCTGTCGGAGAGCTTCTGGCCCGCGCCGCCAACATTCCGCTCCCAGCAGCCGGGCGGATCGCCCGGCCGCCTTCCCAGCGCGATACGTGCACAGCGGCCCCGTCCAACGCTGCCACCGCCGACCCCATTTTGGGCTGTTCGGCCGCTCCGGGAGCGTTCGCATGTTGTTAATTAGCTAGATTAGCGCCGCGAGCTCAGCTCCTTGCTGGGGCCACCCGGAGCAATGCCGTCCTGGCAGCGCGCGCTGCTTTCTGAGCGGGTTTGGGGGTTGCTGTGAAACCCCATTCCCACGTCAGCCAACCCAGTGCGAAAAACAGAGTTTCCTGTCTATGTATCCCAACGTATACACGTCCCCTGGCTGGGGTCACCCGGAAAGGCCGGGCCCCGCATTCCAGGGCCACCGCTCGCCCCGCGGCTTGCAGACCGAGAGGGCACCGTCGGCTGACACCGCCGTCCCCGTGACGCCGCTCCATGCCCACATCCCCCCGTCCCACCACCCCAACGGGGACACGGCGCACCGCCGCCCCTATTTCCCCCCGCTGCCCCAAACCCACGCACCCCCGGGGCTCCCTTTGGGCACCCCCATCCCGCACCCCCGGGGCTCGCTGCGCACCCACGCGCCCACCCCCGGTACCACCGCATCCTCCCGGCGCCCCGCGTCCCCCCGATCTCCCCCGATACCCCCTCCCCCTTCTCCCCCCCTCGGGGCCGTACCCGCCGCCTCCACCGCACCTCGCTCCGCTCCGGCCCGGCCCCACCGCCGGGAGCCTCCGGGCCCCTCCGCCGCCGCCGCCGCCGCCCCCCGCACCGCACCGCGCCGCGCCCTCCGCTCCGCTCCGCGCCGTGCGGGGCCGGGCCGTGCCGCGCCGTGAGGGGGGGTGGGCTCGGCAGGCTGGGAGATGTAGTCCGTGCGGGGTTGTGGGACTTGTAGGAGGAGAGCGGGGCCGCCGCGGGGGCAGCACGGCGGGGCCGGGTGCTCATCCCCGTGCCTTTCCCGCTCCACGGCCCCGTGCCCATCCCGGTACCCATCCCGATGCCCATCCCGGTGCCCATCCCGTACCCGTCCTGGTGCCCGCGGTACCCATGGGATGGTACCCATCCCGGCGGCTATCCTGCTGCCTATCTCCATGCCCATCCCCGTACCCATCTTCGTGCTCAGCGCCGTGCCCGTCCGATGCCCAGCCCCATGCCCACTCTGGTACCCATGCCCACATCCATCCCAGTGCTCAGCTCTGTGACCGCTCCGATGCCCACATCGATGCCCGTCCCCGTACCCATCCCCACGCCCCCCCGCTGCCCTGCCTCGTGCCCATCCCCGCACTCAGCCCCCTACCCATCCCGGTGCCCCGCTGCCTCCCCTCCCCCGCAGGCACAAAGCAGCCCCTGGGGCCAATCCCAGCGGGCACAGCCGCACTGCGGGGTGTCCGGGAGCCACGCGGCGGCAGAACCCCCCCCCTCCCCCACCGCACCCCCCGAGCCCCGCTCGTGGCCGCGCACGGAAACGGGGCGCTGCGCCTTTAAGGCTCCCTGCCGCGGTGCACGCCGGGAGCTGTAGTCCTGCGCACCGCTCTTCGAGCCGCCGGGCGGCGCGGCGGCGCACTACGACTCCCGTCAGCCCCCGCGGCGCCGCCATCATGGCGGCTGGCGTCGAGTGGACCGCGGTCGTCCTCACCTGCCGGCGGGGCGGCGGCGTGGCGGCTCTGCAGCGAGGCAGGCGGCGGGGCCGGGCGAGGGAGAGCGGGGCCGGGCGAGCCCCGCCTTCGAGCCGCCTTTCTCCTCCGCAGAGCTGGAGCTGCGGCGGCGGCGGGGGGCCCTGGGCCGGCGGCCCGTCCTCGTCCTGGCGCTGGAGGATCCGTGGGCCGGCGTGGGGAGCGGCGGCGCCACGCTGAACGCCGTGCTGGTGGCGGCCGAGCACCTGAGCGCCCGCGCGGGCTGCACGGTGAGGGCTGGGGATGGCGGCCCGACCCCCGCCCGCCGCCCCCCGGCCCCGCTGAGCGCCGTGCTCCGCAGGTGGTGAGCGCCGACGCGCTGAAGGAGGCCCGCGTCCTCATCCTGCACACGGTGCGGGCCGCGCGGCTGAGCCCCCGACCCTCGGCCCCGCACCGCCACCGGCGCCGCCTCACCCCGCCCGTCCCCGCAGGGCCGCGAGTTCTCCTTCGACGACTGCGGCCGGGCCTTCACCTGCCTGCCCGCCGAGCGACGCGGCGCCGCGGCCGAGGCGCCGGTGTGCAACCTGGACGGCCTGCTGGGCGTCGTCACGGAGCGGGTGGGTGGGCGAGCGGCGGGACCCCGGCACCCACGGCGTGTGGCCGAGCCCCGGCCCCGTCCTCACGGCCCTTCCTTCCCCAGCTCTGCGTGGGCTCCCCGCCGGGCGTGTGGGTCTGCAGCACTGACATGCTGCTCAGCGTGCCCTCCGTGCCAGGTGAGGGCTGCGTCCCGCAGGCTGGCAGCAGCGCAGCCGGTTTGGCCTTGGCCACGTCCCCGATCGCAGCGGTGTGGCTGTGGGTGCTGTTGAACGGGCTTCTGAGCCACCCACTGGGAGCTGGGAGGGCAGGGGGTGCCCGGTGTATGTAGTTTCATAGAATCACGGAATGGCCTGGGTTGAACAGGACCATAATGATCATCTCGTTCCAAGCCATGTTGGAACCCTAGTTCCAACTATGTGCAGGTCGCCAACCAGCAGACCAGGCTGCCCAGAGCCACGTCCAGCCTGGCCTTGAATGCCTCCAGGGATGGGGCATCCACAGCCTCCTTGGACAACCTGTTCCGGTGGCCCAGGCTGAGTGCTGCTGCAGTGCGTGGAGCTCAGGGCGCTGATCCCTGTCCCTATCTCCAGAGATTGACTGGGATGGCTTCCAAGGAGTCCGAGTGATTGCGGTGCCCGGCAGTCAGGCGTATGCGAGGAACCACGGGGTGTACCTTGTTGATGAGCAGGTCGGTAACAGCTCCCACATCCAAGCAGTGACACCAGCCTGGAGCCCCCCTTGGATGAGCAGGGGACTTGCAGTCACTTGGACTCGCAGTCCCTGGGGTCCCTGCCCCTATGGTCCTGTGGATGTATGGGTCCTGTCCCTGCTACGGCTGCTTGGCTTGGGGTAGCCTGAAGAGCTCATTGGAATCCTCTTGCTCCCAGGGCCTGGTGCGTGACATCATCTACAAAGGCACAGAAGCTCAGATCCAGCAGTGCGCAGGGCCCGATGGCACCGTCCCGCTGGTATGTCACTACCCACAGCTCTGCCAGCTCCATCCCTTCTGTCACCACGGCTGGGACCGTTCACCCCACTGAGGGATGGGGCAGCACAGCCTCAGCCCTGCTGTGCCCTCGCAGGTCTGCGGGGTGGTTTTCTTCTCCTCGAGCGCCGCCGAGCAACTTCTGGCCACCCATGTCATCCCTCCCTTGGATGCCTGCACCTACATGGGGCTGGACTCAGGGGCACCACCCATCCAGGTGACACCCTCCCTAGGGTGATGGGACCCCTCATCCTGTGGGTGCTGATGCTGGGTGTGCCTCTTTGTCCCTGTGCCGTCAGATTGGGTGCAGGAGGGCAGCACCCAGCAGTGGAGTGGGAGTTGGGGTGGCTGCACCAGGTGGCCCGGCAGCACCCAGGTTGTCCCTTCTGTCCCCAGCTCTCCCTTTTCTTTGACATCGTGCTGAGCATGGCGGGGGGGATGACGGAGGAGGATTTTGTGAAGGGTGGTGGTGATGCCAGCGTGAGGAGTGCCCGCTCTGTGCTCTGGACAGCTCTCCGTGCCTTCCCTCTGAGCATGGGTGAGCAATGCTGTGGAGGGCACCTGCAGGTGACCTGTCTCTGATTTTCAGCTCCCTCTGTGGGGAGAAATGTGGGGTCATGGTCCCCAGCTGCCTCTCAGGGAAGCAAGGAGGGGTGCTGGGGAGGCTGGCAGCATCTCCTTGCCCCGAGATTGTGGTCAGTGCTGACTGCTTTCCTGCCTCCCCACAGCCTGCATTCCTGATGCGTCCTATGACTACTTGACCACGGCTGCAAGCGACCACATCCGTAGCCTGACGCTCTTGCCCAGCTCCACCAGCCACCTTCACTTCTGCAAAACAGCCCATTCCCATGTGGACGTAGGTCTCTCCAGCCCCAGATTTGCTCACATGTTTTTCTGGGGGGTTACTCCATGTGCCCACCCCCCGGCAGCAACCCTTGCTCCTGGAGGATGGCTCCTCAGTCACCAACTGCCTGCTGGAAGGAGCCGTGCGGCTGGCGGCCGGCAGCGTCATCCAGCACTGTCACCTCCAGGTATGTGGGACCTGAAGGAGTTTGGTGTCACTGCTGTGACATTTGGGACACCTGCCTTTCGGATGGTGCTGGCTGTCACCTTCCCTGCTGTCAGTGCTGGAATGTCCCTTCCTGGAGGCTTTTGCTGGCCGCAGCATGTCTCCTGGCTGGGCTCTGATATGGGGCTGGCCATGCCATTCAGGATCCCACTGCTTCCTCTGCAGGGCCCTCTGGAGATTGGCCCTGGCTGCCTCCTCACGGGCCTCACCACAGGCTCCTCATCAGCGTTGCAGGGCTGTCCCCTGCGTGATGTGGTCCTGCAGGGCCACCATGTCCGTCTGCGTGACCTGTCCTGCCGCGTCTTCACGCTCACCGGCCGCCTCGACGACTGGCAGGTGCGGGGACAGTGAGGTGGCACGGGGCTCTGCAAAGCTGGGGTGTAACCACCCCCTACGTGTCTCCCCAGAGTCCTGCTGAAGAGGCCACCTACTTGAATGTCCCCTGGGCGGAGTTTTTTCATCGGACGGGCATACGGTAGGTACCGACATGCCTGGATGGAACAGGGGACCTGTTCCATTGGGGTACCCATAGCACCCCAGACCTCAGAGTCTGAAGTGGTGGCCACCCTTCCCTTCCTGCATCCCACCTTCCCTCGGTCCTTGGGGTGGTGATGATGGGCTCTCCGTCCACCAGCAAAGGGGACCTCTGGGATGCTGAGACACCGCAGAAAGACCGCTGCCTGCTGAGCGCCCGGCTCTTCCCAGTGCTGCACGCTTCTGAGGCGCTGGGGCTGGAGGATGTGCTGTGGCTGCTGGCCCCAGCAGCGTCGGGCGACCGGCTGGCACGTTGGCGAGCAGCCTGGCGCATGTCCTGGCAGGAGCTCCTGCCCTGCCTGGACAAGGCAGCTGAGCTGGGTGCTCGCCGGGACCTCTTCTTCCTGCAGGGCCAGCGCAAGGTGCGGCGTGTGCTGCTGGGCCGCCAGGACGGCAGCCTGCTGCCGCTCATCCGCAGCGCTGTCTATGAGGGTTACCATGAGGCCTTGCTGGGCACTCTGGATGAGGGTAAGCTGGACAAATCTTACATCTCTGGGCTTTTTTGTGCTTGCTGTCCCCTTCAGTACCCCTGAGCCTGGCAAGAACTCGAGACCATCCAGGGCAGATGCAGGTTATGCATGTCCCTCTCCCCTGGAGCCAACTTCTTGCGGAAGTGGGCTGCTTCAGGTCACTCACAGCCTTCCCTTAATTTTCTAGTTGCCTCTACAGCTGATGATGCAGGCATCGCAGCCCGGGCTCTCGCCTGCATTGCTGACGTCCTGGGCTGCATGGCACATGGGGAAGGGGGCTTGCGGAGCGGACCTGCTGCCAACAGGGAGTGGGCTTTGGCTTTTGGGCGCCTGGAGAGCAGGGACATTGCTGGTGGGGTGCGGGAGCTGGCAACCGAGAGGCAGAAGTGGATGAGCAGGTGAGGCATGGAGCAGCAAACTGCAGCTGTCCATGCTGACCTAGGAGGCCATGGCAGCGGGCTCAGCATCCCTCTTTTTGCAGTCC